GTTCTCACTCTTCCAACTAAAATTTAGGTGATTTCTCCAACCAGGGTTGTATGTTTGCGAGTATGGGTTATGGTTGGGCCTTTGGAGACTATTTAAAGCATGGTCTTGTTCATGGAGACATTCCTTAAAAGAAGGCAAGGTTGGGCAATCATTGGTTGAGTGTTCATTTGTTTCACAGATTTGACATCCAATGTTTTCAACACATTTTAATTGACCACTCCTTTTCAATTCTAGTGCCTCGACTTTTCTAGCTAAAGATGCAAACTTGGCTTGGAGGTCATGATCTTGATCTGAACACCAAGATGCCTAAATGCATGGAAAATGCCTCCTTTTATAGGCCAAAATTGGGAACTATTGATTTGATGACTAATTGATGAGTGGGTGGCCGCATCTTCACTTGGTGTACGTTGTAAACTTCTCTTGTCTGCCCAAAACATCATTGATAACGTCAAAACTGGAGCCACTTGAAAACATGAACGTTGTAGGCAATTGTCTCAGCTTTCTTGTGTAAACAATTCAGCTCATTTCGAGTTCTAGAACTCTAGATATGGCCAAAATACTGAACAATGCTCGGGCTGGAGGATAGATTCGGGCTTCTTTGTTATTGCAACAATTTGGACTTGAAAATGGCCTTTTTAGATCTTAGGCTCCATATGAAAGTTATAGGCCTATGTCTTACCTTTCCATCCATATAAAGTATACCTAAATCTGAGATCTATAGCTCTAGATATGACCCAATTACCGAACAGTGTTCTGGTTTGGATTGCACCGACATCTCTTTTTGAAGTTTAGCCATCTCTTTGTCCTTTCAATTTAAGTTCTTAAATTTATCAATCAATCCTTTCATTTATGTGATAGGCCTGCATTTAAAATGAACATTTACCACAAATTAAAGGTATCTTATATTATTAGATATATTATTATAAACATGCTTTAGTTAAGGAGTTATTGATACTTCAAGTGCAAAATGATCATATAAAACCATGATAAAAATGCACTTTTAAGTACTAATCACCAACCATAACTTATACTTGCAAACATACAACTCTGATTGGAAAAATCACCCAAATTTTAGTTGGAAGAGTGATAATAACAATGTACAAACTTCACAACCATCATTTTAAACACACCATAATTTCCAAAATTCTTATGGATATGCACCTCCTTATGCTCTACCTCCTAGAAGAAATCTTGAGGAAACATTGCATACATTTATTAAAAAGCAAGAGACAATCAATACTACTTGCTCAAAACATAACAGATTTTGAAGATACTCTTGCAAAATTGACATCTGCTCTTAGTTTCCAAAAAAAGATAAGTTTCCATCTCAACCACAACAAAATTTCAAGGGGAAATACAATGCAAATGCAAGGAGTTTCAGAAGCCAACACATAGATTAAATTAAATCAGTCAATACTCTTCGTAGTGGTAAGGGTATTGAAAAACCTACTCTTGAACTTTGTGAGAAAGATGATAGGTCAATCTCTGAGGGTAAGGAAGGAGTTAAATTTAAAAATTATAAAGAAAAGATTGATTCCCCATCAACACTTTCATTTCCTCATGCCATGACCAAACAAAGAAAAGTCAATCACAACTCTGAAATCTTTGAAATTTCCAAACAGGTAAGGATCAATATACCTTTGTTAGATGCTATTAAACAAGTTCCTTTCTATGTTAAATTTTTGAAAGATCTATACACTGTAAAGAGAAAACTGAATGTGAAAAGGAAAACCTTTTTAGCTGAACAAGTAAGTGTCATTCTTCAGAACAATAATGTTTTGAAATATAAAGACTTTATAATTTCTAAAATAGTAATAAATGTAATATGGACCAAAATATGATAAAAAACTAAATAAAATAAGAAAATAACAATAAAAAGAATGATGATCAAAATTGAATAAAAAATAAATGCAATAAAATGACTATTAAAGAAATAAAAAAATAATCAAGGAAAGGATAAAACACCAAAAACAAAAAGCAATCCAAAGAATAAAAACAAAATTGAATATAAAAATCAAATTAAATAAAATTCTTAATGAAGAAATTAAAAAAAAATCTAAAATATAAAAGTATCAAAAGCAAAACAAATAATAATTTAAAAATAAAAACAAAAATTAATATGAATACAAATTAAAGGACACAATTATAGTTTGAAGGGGTCAGTGTGATTATCAAGGCTATGAAAAAGGGAGAAAAGCATGTTGAAGACTAATTATGCTTTCATATCAAGTATGCAGTGTGCTCTTTAAAAAAAACGATATATCACTCCTAATACTGTTATAAATGATACAATTTGATAACTAGATAGCCCGCACTTGTTGACATATATATATATATATATATATATATATATATATATATATATATATAAACTTATTGAAATTATAAAAAGACCCATGCAAATATAAAAAACAAAAACAGGAAAATACTAAAAAAACCCTTCAATCAAGTCTTTTTTCAACTTAAAGGGCAATCTTGTAACTTTAATATATTAATAGAAGCAAAAGATAAAAAATCTCCTTTGTGAAATTCTTTGTTTTTTTTTTCCTTTCAAGGATATTGAAGTAATTATAGTGTGCAAATAATTTTAAAAAGATAAAAAGCCTGAAAATCATTGATTTTATTTTTTCTTTTAAGAATAGTAAAGTAATTTAACTATACTAAATAAAGTATATTAATCGATTTTTCCCAAGCAATCTTGTAATGCTCAAATAGATCCCCATGAAAACATGATTTTACCCTCAACTGCAAGCTTTGTAGGTATTAATGAGAAGGACAAAATAATTATTATATTATTCTAATAACTATTATAATATATCTAGGATCACAATAAAACACTAATAATTTTTAGCTTTTTTTAAGATATTTATTTATTCTATTGTATTCCAGCTCCAACACTTTTAATTGTATTTAAAAAAAAATTCTCATGTGTGATAAATATTATCCTCATTCACCAAAAAAATAAAATAAATAAATAAACAAATGTTCTCCTCTTATATTTTAGGACTTCTTATCATATATCTTTTAGAGTTTTGAAATATTTTTTAGAACTTTTAGTGATTTATCTTAATTAATTTTGGTGTTAATAAATAGGATTATTATTTTTTAATAATTCAATATTTATATATTCTTAGATATATTTTATTTTAATTGAAAAAATATTTAAAATTTAGATTTTATAAGTTTTTATTTTTTGTGTTATCTCAAAACAAGTATTAGGTTCTAACATAAATTCTTGTATAAAATACAAACACACTACGATTTACATAAAAGGCTTTTAAAGGCTCTAAGATGTTTATCTTTTATAGACTTGGCTACGTATTTTCTGATTTTATATTTATAATTTCTTTCAATCTATGTTTTTTTTTTTCATATTTAGTATCAAATAATATTATATTTTGATTGAGTTAATTTAGATTGAGCCCCTAGTTGGAATAAGGCGTCTAATTTTGATTGAGAGACAGGTTAATTTAAAGATATTTATAACCACCAAATTAAAAAATATAAAAATTAAATAAACAATGTCTTTTATTTTTTATTTAAAAAAAATAGGAACCGACAAATTGAAAGAACAGTTAGCTATGCATTGGTGATTCACTATCATCTTGCCTAATTCTCTGCTATTTGAATTTCGGGAATTTCCAAAGGAACATACATGAGTAAGTTTGCTGTTCATGATCACTGCTTTTAATTTTTTTTTAAATATTTTTAAAATATAAAAATATGTTCTAAGCAGTTCATGACTGCTGCTTTATTAGTATATATCTTTTTAATTTTAATGATAAATAATTTTCATTTATTATTATAAAAGTTAAACAATAATTACTTTTCAGTCAAAAAAATTTAATTTAATTTTAAAATATATATTTTTTTTAATTTTAAACAGAAAAATACTTTATAAAAGTTTTAAAAAATAAAAATAAATATCTAATTATTTGTTCATTATATCAAACTTGATCTTTAATTTTTTAATTATTATATATTTTGTTTCAAATTTATTTTCTTTAATTTTATCCTTGAAATTTGATTTAGTTTGATTTTCAAACTGAATTTGATTTTTTTATTGTTATTTATTTTTTTCTTATCCTTTTCTTAATTTGTATTATTTATTTATTAAATTTAATCTCTATTTTTTAATTTTAATTTATTTTATTTTAAATAATTTATGAAATTAAATTATTTTTTTCAATTTCATTCTCTTTTAATTTATCTATTTATTAGATTTTATCTCAATTCTTTTTATTACTAATTGTTTATTTGAAATAATTTATAAAATTAGAATTTTTTTAATTTTATCATTATTTAATTTTTTTATTTTTCAAATTTAATCTATTATTTTTAATAAATTTGAGAAAAAATTTTAAAAAATTATTTTTCAGCTCATTTTTATGACATAACTAAACATTAAATAATATTTTCTAACTCATTTTTATAACATTATCACATAAAAAATAACATATTTTTAAGAAATTTATTTTTTATAAAAATTATTTTTTAAAAAATTATTTTGCAGTAAATAAACAACTTCTAACTGTTTACATGTTTTTTATTTTTTCAAATAGTGGATTTAATAATTATAAAGATTCACTTCTTATCTTAATTTCATAAGGATATTATTATTAAAAAAATCTATTCTCCTAAATATATTATGATGTGAAAGATAAATTCTTGAAATTAATGTACAAGAAAAAAATTGCACCTAGAATGGCTTTTAAACGTTCCAAAGGAAGTCCAATTCAAAATAAAGTGTTGATGGAGTAATTTATATATAATATAATAATTTATTAATCATGTATGCTGAAAAAATATGTAATAATTAAATAATGATTGATTTGAGGTCGTCTCCTCTATCAAATTTTTTCCAAGTCCAAGAAAGAAAAGACGAAAAGTATTGTCCTTAATAATAATATAATAATAAACTTTGATTTTCGGTTTCTCATGTATTTATATCTCAACCATCCTTATACCACCACTCCCTTCATAAACCTATATCCCTCTCCCTCTCCCTCTCCCTCTCCCTGCTTCTTCTGCAATATTTCTCTCTTTCTCTAATGGAAAACAGATTCAGGTTTCGAATCTCTCGCATGTTTCGTGGCTCATGTCGGACCCGAAACTTATCGGACGTGGTTGAAAAAGTTGTGTTTGTGCCTCAAAACCATAAAAACTTCCACTTGATTGACCATTTACCTTCCAAGACTCGACCTTTCCCTTCTATTTGCATACGCAAATGCCCTGAAGCAACAAACCAAGCCATCAATCCCTCTATCATCTCCAGGAAAAAACTATCACACCGTTATCCTCCTGCTTCCCCCATTTTTCCTATGAATCCATTCTATAAAGAATTGGGCTTCATAGAGAAAACGAAGGGACGTTGTAGCTCAATTAGAAACAGGAGTAAAAAGAAGAAGAAGAACATCACTGACAAAAAAGACCAGATGAGTTTATTAAGCTCATCGTCACAAGACAGTGCATGTTTTGGAGGTCGCTATTACTGGTTCAGCAGCGAAGATGAAAACAAGAGAGAGGATGATGAGACGGACACTCTTTTCTCTTCAAGATGTCTTTCTTCATATTCATCCGGATCTCTCAGGCACCCTTCTTCTCGCCGCAGAAAGTACACTTCTCGGAGGAGAAGGGCAAAAGTGAAGAGTTCTCAAGTGGGTGTTTTGCCATTAGATGGAAAAGTGAAGGACAGCTTTGCAGTGGTGAAGAGTTCTAGTGATCCTTATAACGATTTTAGAAAATCAATGGTTGAGATGATTGTTGAGAAGCAGATATTTGCAGCTAAGGATCTCGAACAGCTGTTGCAGTGTTTCTTGTCTTTGAACTCTTATCATCATCACGGGATCATTGTTGAGGTCTTTATGGAGATTTGGGAGGCTTTGTTCTCTAATTGGACTGCATGTTGATTTTCTTCTATCTTTGTTTTAAAACATGTAGTTTAGAGTTCTAACTCTGATCGATAAACTATGTTAAATTAATAGATTAGTTTTCCATTAATTCCCATATGTTGTCTATTGTCACTTCTCTCTTTCTTTCTTTTATTACTGTAAAACTACTTGACATCCACTATAAGTGTCATTTTCTTTATATATATATATATAAAGAAAACGATTAGGTGAAAAAAAAGTTCACGGGGACATCTAAAAGGTGACAAACCAAGTCTTTGATATGGTTTCCTTAACTTTCAGAGAGGTGCTTTAGACTTGAAAGATGGGATAGCAACTTTTCTGATACTAACGCAAATGGAGTTAAAATAATTCAAAAGGACTTTCGGATTTCTTTTCCAATTAATACACCAAAAAGAATAGAAAGAAAATAGAGAAGCCTATATACTATAGTTTCACCTACAGAAGAAAAGAGAGTGGGAGTGCTGTTTTATTATGGAGAAAATATGCTCCAGTAGCTTTTCTAAGCAACAATTTCTTGAACATCAAGCTCTTTTCATCAATTAATTGTTCGGTTCGGCATCCTATGTAAGCTTATTTTTTTGTTGATTGTTTTTGGTCATTGTATATTAATTATCAGAAATTCTGGGAACAATTTCCCGTTAATTTCAGATCGATCAGTTTGAATTATATCCTAAATAACTAGCAATAAAATTATAGCAAAACAAATGAAGTTGGGGATTGGATTTCTTTCTTGTCTCCGTTGTTGAATCCACCTGACCAACAAAAAAAGAACAAAGAACAGTTAGGACGTAGGAGAACTTTCATGGTAAGTTCGAAAAAGAAGAAGATTTATTTACAAGAACAGCCACATGACATATACGAGACCAAATGCCTCACTCTCTTTTAAGAAGAAAATAAAGTCTACCCTACTATAGTACTCTAATCATTTACAGGACTACAAAAACTGGATCTTTTTTCTATTAAATTAAGAAAAGAGAGACAGAAATAAAGAATAAGGTCATATTATATGCCATTGAAATGATGAAGCAATAGGCCGTTGGCATGATGCCCGCGGACAAAGAACCAAGTTTTAAATTTTTTGTTAATAAAGGGACAATTTTTGGTAGCTAAACACATAAAAAGAGACAAGTGTTAGGTACATCTATTTCTTGTTGTATTATTAACCGAATCAAATTAATTAATGGGATTCATTTGTTTCCATTATTACATGGTAACACAGGCAAGACAAAGCAAACACAACTCCCCACCACCCTAACATCGAACAGAGCAGAGTTTTAGTTCTTGCGTGGTGTCCGTCCAACGTGAGCTAACCTTGTTTTTCAAAAAACCGAAGAGAAGTTGTTCTGATGGGGGCTAGCTAGGCAGCTTAATTGGCATTTAGTTTCATTCCTAAAAAGACTGAAAACTGATATGTCGGATGCATATAATTTTCTGTGAACGCTCGTACGTTCATTTCAAACAACGGTTGTACATAGCTTAGAAATAAAATATGAGAGAGGCCATAATGGACGGAGAAAAATAGGGCATGTAACAGAGAGAATGTGACCCAAAACCATGCAAGAAGTGGGGTGCAGTGGTGTAGCTTTTAGTGGGAGTAGTATCTGGATTTGATAACAATGTCACGTCAGGTTTGATTTTTTGCTCGGTTCTCTCTGTTCTAATGGTAAATGAGTTCGAAAGCCTTTTGCAACCATGTTGATGACAAAGTAAAGAATGTCTGATCATGGCAGTGGCTCTGTTTTTTTGTTTTTTTGGTTGTGATTCATAGAACCACAGACTGACCTATATAGGTGAGCAGATATACAATTGGCATTGACAATCCAATTGTGGTCTTGGGTTTTCTTGGCCCTATTTCCTAGAGCCGACTCTACAGGATGTCGAGATACGCAAAGCCTCTAATGAGCAGAAGTTAAATGTGCTCATCTAGTTTGGAGTCTTCATGATGATCTCGGATGAAGCTTAAATTCAATTTCTAGTTTGCTGCTAGTCCTTTTTTTTTCTTTCGATATTTTGGACCAACCACATATACATCAATCAAGATTAAATTATTTCCAAATGATTTTAAGGATGCATCCCTGCATACATAAACCTGATACATTAAATTGTTTTTAATAAACAGAGAAGGGTTACTCTGTAAAACCAACAAAAAAAACTTGAACTAAAGATCAAGGGTAGGATTGTAATTATAAGTACAAAGAAAATATAAATAGATACTTGGCTTCCTAAAAACATCAAGTTGGCCGGTCACTTGATGAAGAAAAAAAAAAGAAAAAAATTGAAGCAAATTATTGAGAAATTCTTGATAAAAAAAAGTTTCAAAGAGAGATAAATAAAAAGATCTAAGAAAGACTAGAAAGAGATTAAACAAGAAAATCAAAGATTATCAAAATTAATGGTTTTCAAATAAGAATGTCGAAATAATTAGTATTTGAGTAAGATATCAAATTAATTGGTGTCTAGTTAAGATTATTGAAACTAATAACTTTTAAATGGAAATGACAGAATAACTAGCATGCCAAAATAAACAATAGCTATGAGAATTGTAATGTATATGGGTAACCAAAGAAAGAATTACAAGATGAAATTACAAGATCATTTAGTACGTGAAAGGAATGATCAAACAAATTAATTATGAAACAAAATAGTCAATTTATATAACCATTCAAGTAGGATGGATGGATGAAAAAGAAGAAATTAGTGCAATATTTTATTTAATTCATGAATTATTAGGTCAAAAAAGAATGTAATAGAGATAAAAATGAATAGATATTAATTAATATTGAATAAAATTATAGTAAATATTAATGTGCTCTAATGTTAATTTCTTCTTTAAAGCCTTTACAAGATCATCAAGAATGCACTTTTAATATTCTTTTTCTATTCTAGTTAATAGGAAAGGCATGTATGTAATTTATTAGTTATGGCATGTATGTAATTTATTAGTTATGGATAAAGTATTGTACTACTTTAAGTACTTCCTTTTGACATGTAAATTAAAATTTATGGACTTTAGTGTTTTATTAGAAAAGAACTTAAAATTTAAAATAGTGAATATGTTTTATTATATGTTCTTTTATATTGTTTAAATTATCTTATCATTTTATTAATATACTAAATTGATTAGGTTGAAATGATGTGGTGAGTATTATGAGATTATTAATGAGATAAAAATTCTAGATAAGTTGAAGTGATGTTTAATATTGGATTAATTAAATCTCTTTGATGTCGACACTTGGGATAATGATATATTAGAAAAAAAATCTTTTTTTTTGAGAAATTATTATTTGACATGTTGATTATAAGTAGAAAGATTAGGAATCGTTATAGTTGGTATCAAAACTTTTACTTGATTCAACAAACTTTGAATGATAATTTAAAGTTTATTGAATCTATTTTTGTAAAAATTACAATGTAGACCTTTTATAAATGATTGGAGCAAATTGATTAACATTGAAGCAAGAAGACCAAATTACCATAAACACAAGGCACAAAAAGATAATTTTCTATATATATATATATATTTGTTATATTTTAAACACATAAAAATAAAATCTAAATTTATAACTTCACTTTATAATTGAATTTCAATTTATAATATGAATATATAGTAATAAAAAATAATTATTAATGAAAAGCATTTTAAATATTAGGATGCTATTGTTCCTTAATATTATATAATACATTAAAAGAGATCAGTTTTTTGTATCATTTTGATTATAGTGATTTTTTTTTAATTTTACTTTAGTCCTCCAACTTTTATTTTGCACAAACTTAGCCTTTTTTAATCTAAATTAGCACCTAATTGCATTTTTTTTTGGAAGGAGGTTGAATTAAAAGATAGGGGACTAAAGTGAAAAAAGCGAGTGGAATAAGTGGTTGATTAGAATTTAAAAGTACATTTTTTATCAAGGTTTTATGTCATCATTTCGCACTTGAAGTATCAATAACTCTTTAACTAAAGCATGTTTTATAATAATATATCTAATAATATAAGATACCTTTAATTTATGGTAAATATTCATTTTAAATGCAGGCCTATCACATAAATGAAAGGATTGATTGATGACTTTAAGAACTTAAATTGCAAGGGCAAAAAGATGACCAAAATTAGAAAAGAGATGTAGGTGCAATCCAAATCGGAACACTGTTTGGTAATTGGGTCATAT